ACGAAGGCCGAACATGTTAGCCAGACAAGAAAGAACTGGGAGACAAAGGACATGGACAGAGGTCTAAATAGAGGCATTTACATATGTAAATCTATTTTTATATAATGACAGAAAAATAGCTCTATGCACATATATTCATATATTAAGTATTAAGGTATTTTCAATTGCCTCATGTGCACATGAAAGTTGGATATTGAATAAGGAAGACCAAAGGAGAGTCAGTGCATTTGAATTATGGTGCTAATGAAGAATATTGACAGTACCATGGGCTGCCAAAAGAACAACCACATCTGTCTTGGAAGAAATACAGCCAGAATGATCCTCCAAGGCAAGGAAAGAAGACTTCATCTCACAAATGTTGGACATCTTATAAGGAGAGATCAGTCCCAGGAGAAAGACACCATGCTTGGTAAAGTATTGGCGCAACAGAAAAGAGGGAGAACGGTGACAAGATGGATGGGCACCGTGGCTGCATCAATGGGCTCAAACATAAAAACAATTGTCAGTATGACACAGGACTGGGCGGGGCATAGGGTCACTAGGAGATGGAACCAACTCAGTGGCACCTAACAACAACAACATGATGCAATGGAGATTAGGATGCTAACAGAATGGCAGATGGCTACCACCAGGCAGGCTCAAGACCGGATGGAGCAGGGCGGGCGGTGGGGTAGGCTGGGATTCTATCACTATTTCTACTCACTGGGATCTTGGGCAGATTTCTTCAACCTTATCAACCTCATCGGAGGAGAAACAGGTTGAACTATGTGCTTCTGAGTTGCTAAAACCTCCCTGATTTAGGTTCCCTTCTCCTTCAGGAAACCTAAGCCATTCGGAAGACATGATGTTACCCAGCTGCTGTTCCAGGCCATGATCCCCAGCATTTCGCTGGTCCCTCCCATGTCAATGAAGGCTGATCTCCAAAGAGGTCGGTGAATAATGTGAACGTAGCAACAACATCCCCCCAGTAATCCATACTGTCCAGGGATTGAGGTGGTCTCTCTGGTTCCAGTCCCCTGGTGTCTTCTCCAGTTAACAAGATCGAAAGCCAGAGACGGAATGAAAACCCTGTGCTATCGAGAGAGTCTAACTCAAAGGGACTCAATAGGATACAGTAGAACTGCTCCCTAGGATTTCTAAGGCTGCACATCTTTCTGGGCGCCTGGTCTTGCTCCTGCAGAGTGGCTGGTGGGTTGGAACTGCTGACCTTGTGGTTAACAGCTCAACAGGTAACCCACTACGCCACCAGGCTTTCTTAGAGACAGACGGAAGAGGCCCCTAAAGAAGCAAAAAGTGAATATTCACATGTGGTTTGCAATGTGCCAAGAGTTGGGAAATGAGAACATCAATTCTTCCAAATTAAAAAGTTAATATGACATATGTTATATATGATTATATAATTAGTATTATTACTACAATATTATTACTGTTTCTCGACTGTGTACTTTGTGCAGCATCATTATATCACTTCTCTTAAATTCCTCCAACACTTTTCTTTTTTCCTGTTCCAACACTTTTCATAGAATTATTCCCTATCCACATTTAATATGGAAAACTGAGACTAAGGGGAACTAGAGAACTGACCTAGATCCACTTAGGAATTGGTGGGACACGAGTCTCCCTGAAGATTGTATAACTCGCTCATCTGCCACTAATTCATTCTCTTATGTTCCTCCAATCTCATGTCATTTTTCCAGACCTCAAATTTAGAAAGGGGAAGCTGTGGTACACTGGCTATATCAAGTGTCGTAAGTAAAGCGAAATGCATACCCTGTGTAATCAGAAATACTCCGCGGAGAAGGGACAGGAAGTCTGAGAGGTTGTGGAACAAAGCAGTGAGCATGTGCTGGCAAGAACAGCCGGTAGGAGGTTCCAGTTGAGAGCTTCTCAGGGGAGCTGGGCCATCAGCCGTAACACATAGGACTGGGCTACACGACCAGGTAGGTACCTTGCTTTGGCTCATGTCTTTTGGGGAGATTGTCTGCTTTTGACTAGGCAGCCAGGGAACCTCAGATCTGCTTCTACTGCCTGCAGTTCGACTCTGCCTTTTAGCACGGCTGTGTGTTGGAATCGACGAGGTGACAGTGGGTGTGACCATATTCAAAGAAAGGGTCGGAAGAAAGAAAGAGAAGAATTTAAAGGACATATATGAAACCATAGAAGAAAAATAAGGCTTTCTATTCCCGTGAAAATTTACAGTCTAAGAAACCCACATGGGCTGTTGTACCTTGTCTTGTAGAGTCATTTTGAGTCAGATCTGACTGGGTGACAGTGAAATTCGGGTTTGGGGGGGGATATGAAACTGTAGTTATTGCATGAGGTTTAAGGTCCTTTTTTTCTTCTCATTTTCTTCTCAAACTGTATCCCCTTCTTTATACTGAATTTGCTACTTGATACACTTTTTTAAAACAAAGAATTACAATAACAAACAAAACGCATGCAGGTGGCATGAGAGCGAGTCCTCATCAGGCTTGCAGTTCCCATCCTCAGGTTTGGGACAAGCACACCCTGCAGTCCTTCTGTATGAGAGCTGACAAATGCAGGAAGGAGTTCCGAGCTAAAGACGCTGTTTAGTAAGATGGGGAAGAAGAAGAGGCTCCGTTGGATGAGTTGGGCTATTCAAGCGTAAAGAACCACCACCACTAAGACCTAATTCACAATAAAAAATTCATTAGACACAAAACAGCATACAGAACAAGGCAGAAGCTAAGTTACCACAAAACCAAAGGCCAAACCTACTACCACCAAGTCGAGTCTGACTCATAGCACCGCCATAGAGCAAAGTAAAACTGCTCCACTGGGTTTCTAAGCCCACGCATCCTTCCGCAACCAAGGAGAATCATCTTCCCCCACGGAATGGCTGGTGAGTTTGGACTGGTGATTTTGCAGTCCGCTGCCCAATGCTTACCCACTGTGCCACCACCTGGCTACCACCAAGTCAAAGACTGACTTGTAGCAACCCGATAGTACAGAGCAGAAGTGTTTCTGAGGGTTTATGAGACTAGATCTTCACACAGTGAAAAGCCTCGCCTTTCTCTCTCAGAGCAGCTAGTGGTTTCGAACAGCTGACTTTCCGGTTACCAGCCTAACTCATAACCCACTACCCCAGCGAGCTTCACTTTGCCACTAGGGCTCCTTAAATTATCAAAATATGAGGATAAAGACCTCCAATGCACATTCTCTAAGGTCAGTCATCCTCCTAAAGATGTGTACCAGCTGGTCAGTGGTAGCCCTTGTGCCTTAACTAGAGGAGAGGAGTCATGCAGGAACTCGGGATCAATCATAGTTAGATGGACACCCAAAATTTTGTAGGGAGTAAAGACAAATTGTGGTGTTAAACAGACTGGGTTCAAATGTTGCCTCCACTCCTTGCTAGATAACAATCTATTAACCTCTCAACGCCTCCATTTTCTCATCTCCTAATTCAAATAACAACAGCATCTATCTCTAACAATCATCCTGTAGATTAAATGGGAACCTAGGCAAAGTTCTTAATAGAGTTCATTAATTCCAAGTGCTCAATACATCTTAACAATTATCTGGAACTGTTTGGGTTTGAAACCTAGAACTTCTTCAAGCCCAATACTTGGTCCATTTCCCTGGCTTTGAGGCTGGGATATTCAGCAGAAGGACCTGGAATCATCCAGGGCAGTCTCAACTAGCTCCACTGCAGAAAGTCAGTGTCAACCCTAGTCTTTCCTGGTTCATGCCACCTCACCCCTCCCTACTCATGCCCAGAACTCAAAATTCCAAGAAATGAAAATTAGCTCTTATGAAAAGGGAACTTTCATTTTTAAAAACTCTTCAGAGAAGGTACCTGAGGCTGAGCGCACATGGGGAATTTGACTAAAGAATAAGTCAAGGTAAGACCAATGACAAAACCATTGCCATCGAGTTGACTGATTCATGGTGACATGGACTGATTCGGGGTTCCTGCAACTGTGAACCTGTATGGGAGCCGACAGCCTCATCTTTCTCCCAAGGAACATTTGGGTTGGTGGACCACTAACCCCATGGCTCAAAGTCCAGTGCTTACCCAACTGCATTACCAGGGCCCTTTAAAGATGTAGGCAGACATCACAAACAGTCCATGAGTATTGGGAAGTTCCCGGAAAAACTCAGAAAAGCACAACATAAAGCATTCAAATCCTCAGGAGTCCTTCAGGATCATACAATTATACTTTTTTTATAGGTTATGAAACTGAGGGCGAACCAGGAGAAATAATCTACCATGGTTAGCTATTAAATATCAGTGATGACATTCAGATATAACTGATAAGCTGAGAGTTTATCAGGTTGGAGATTTGAGTCTACTCAGAAAAAGTATCTAGTATATATATATATATCTAGAACAATGGTTCTCAACCTGTGGGTCATGACCCCTTTGGTGGTTGAACGACCCTTTCACAGGGGTCACCTAATGCATAACAGTAATAAATTACAGTTATGAAGTAGCAACGGAAATAATCTTAGGGTTGTGGGGGTCACCACACCATGAGGAACTATATGAAAGGGTCGTGGCATTAGGAAGGTTGAGAACCATTGCTATAGATATACCTATCCTGGATTGCCAATTCACAAAGAAAACATTAAAAAACAAACAAATGAAAACTGGCAAAACAACAAAGTGAAATAGATAAACCCCTCAGTGGAATAGGAAAGCAGGGAGTTTCCTCTTCCCAGCACCGGACTGCCTCACCTTTCTCCGGTAAAGCACTGCTGGGTTCAAACTGCTAAAGTTTTGGTTTCCAGTCAGGTGTTGAACAACTGTGCCACCAAGACTCCTTAGAGAGCCTGGAACCAACCCAAACGTTGAGGTGAAGCTTCAGGGAGCAGAGCCCTAGCACCATCGGATGATCTTAAGCCAATCTCCAAACTGGGGCCCTCAGGGGGAAGAACAAATCTGGGGAGCTTCCAAGGGACTGAGCCCTGCTGCTGACCCCCGAGAGGTCCTGCTGAGCCCTGCTGCTGACCCCCGAGAGGTCCAGTTCCCCTGCTGAGTGGCCGGACAGCAGACTGCTGACTCTCCATCACCATTGGACTTTCCAATGTGAGGAAGGAAAAGGGGAAGTTGAGAAGAAGTCGTGTGTTACAGAAAAAGAATAAATACAAGCGTCTGGGCCAAGTTGGCCCATTTCAGGTACTTCCCAGTATGCAAACACAAGCTAATAATAATTAATTCACTACTCTTTATTAAACACTTCCTATGTCCCAAGCAGAGCACTGTGTGTAACTATTTAAAAAACGAAAGTCACTTGAACTTATGAGTCCAGAGTTTCTGATGTGCAAAATGGGTTTAATGACTGTTCACTTGCAGAGTTGTTATAGGAATCAAAACTGCTATGGATGAGGGCCTGGAACTCAGCAGGAGTTCAATAAAAATGTTCATATTGATAATCATTAAGCTAATCTCAAGCAGTGTTTCCTCCTGTTGAATATAGGGTTGCTATGGGTCAAAACCAACTTCATATCATCTAAAAATAATAATAAAAATAAAATAAAACAAGTCCCGTTAAACAAGGAGGCATTCTGAGTAAGAAAGACCCTATTTGGGAAAGGGAACTAGAATAGAATTCTCCCAACAAGTTAACGAAAAGGAAATTAATATTAGGGTAGAAGACTTGGCAGTACAGGTGGGGAAAATATGTACAATCCAGGGTGGTGGTGTGTTCAAACCACAGTAGAAGAGGAGATGCTGGGGGTCAGGAAGGGAAGCTAGAAGGAGGGGCTGCTCCAGATAGATAGATAGACACATACATACATACATACATACATACATACATACATACACACATACATGCATGCATACATACATACATAGTTATATACATAGATAGGTAGATACATAGATATACAGATAGACAAATGGATAGATTTACTGTTAGGGCTACAAACCAGGACCTGTGTGAAATATTTGCCTCTCAATGGCCGGAGTCCTCTAAACTATTCCACTTTTCCTCCAGTGACAAATTATCTCCAATGGGCAGACTTTGCAAGCATGCTAGCATTCCAAGATTCCTACTGCTCCCTACATTCTGTTTTATTCCTAAAAGATAAGTCATCCCTTGCATAATGGAGAAACACCTTCTCTTTTAAAAAATAATTTTATTGGGGCTCTTATGAATATTATAATAATCCAAAAATCAATTAGATCAAGCAAACGTATACATATGCTGCCATTGTCATTTTCAAAACATTACCTTTCTACTTGAGCCCTTGTTAACAGCCTCTCTTTTTCCCCTCCCTCTCTGCCCCTCCCACCCTCGTGAATCTTGGATAAATTATATGTTGTTATTATTTTCAAATCTTACACTATCCCTTCACCCAGGTGAGAAACACCTTCTTAAGTCACTGAAACATCCCTAGGAGGCTGTTGCCTCTCAGTCAAACCCCGAGTATTAACTGAGTTCTTCGTCTTTTCCAGCATCATGTTTTCACAGCCCCCAACCAAAAAGACCTTGAACACCTTCATTGCAAAGGACAACATTGCTCCACAAAGAGAAAAATCTGGACATGCCTACCCCAAAGAGGATGACCCAAAGAGGGATCTTCAAAAGGAAGCCACAGTTCTTGGGGTAAATTAATGTAATTATAAGGATAACACTGAGGAATTACATTGGAAATATATATCTACAGATTTACAATGGATCTGGAAGGATGTTTTCTTAACCTTGGCTGACTCAAGGCCCATTGGAACATAAACATAAAATGGGGCTTTATAGAGAGACAATATCCTCCTAAAGCCGTTTGGTAAACTAATTAGACAATAGGACATCCCCTCAAAGAGAGGTCACAGGGAAGAGATGAGCCAGTCAGGGTGCAGAATAGCACCAATGAAACACACAACTTTCCTCTAGCTCTTTGGGGCTTCCTTCCCCCGATTATCATGACTCCAATTCTGCCTTACAGATAGGTTTAGACAAGAACATGTACACTGCTACAGAAAAGAGCCCACAACACAGGGAATCCAGGGTAGATAAACCTCTCAGGGCCAACAAGGAGAGTAGAGATACCAGGAGTGGGGAGAAAGGATGAATAGATCCCAAGGACCAATCTATAACCCCTCCCAGGGGGATGAATAACTGAAAAGAAGGTGAGGGAAGATAGAGGGTGATATAGGATATGAAAATAATAATCTATAACTTAATCAAAGGTTCATGAGAGAGGGCAGGTGGGGGAAGGAGGGGGAAGAAATAGGGAGGTGATATCAGGGGCTCAAGTGGGAAGATAATGCTTTGAAAATGATGATGGCAGCATACGTGCGAATGTGCTTGACCCACTGGATGAATGTATGGGTTGTGAGAAGAGATGTAAGAGCCCCCAATAAAAGTAAGGGGGGGGGGGAGGTAAAAAAAATAAAATAATAATGCCATTTTCACTTGAATGCTATTCAAGTAAATCTCTCCTAATTTGTCTTTAGGAGTGTAGAGTTGTTGGGACTAATCATATGATTTTACCCATTATGATTAAACTGAATCTCAAACCTTTATTTTTAACCTTCTGAGATGAGAAAATTAGACTCATTATGTTTTTACTTCCTGTTTTCATGAGTTACTACAAGTGACTGGATTATCAATCCCTCCTATCCAAGACTTTCACCCCCACACACTTCTGAACATCCTCTTTTAAGAATCAAATCCTACCCATTCCAATTTTGGAACTTACCGTATATGTCATGTGGAATTCAGGTTCAGATAACAGCATGATGTCTGCCTTCAGTCTTTTCTTTTCATTGATTTGTTCTCCTCAAAGTCCCCTTCCTCTGTTGTGGAATCAGAAGGACTGTTTTCATGGCAACCCTGGCCCCTGGTCATAGAGGTGAAGTTGGGTAGCCTCTCTGTTTCTCATACTCCCAGACCGCTCTTTCTTCCTTACCCCTAAAACCACCTGCAGTGGAATCCCATGGGCTCCTAGAGAATTCGCTCCCTCGTTTCTCTTCTCCAGACCATTTCGCTGTTCTCCTTGAAGATGTTCACACCCCCCTCCCCGATCACTGCCACTTCCTCCACAAAAGGTCCTGCCAAAGGTTGAGCTTTTTCAATGTTTACTTTGATGATCATTTCAATACCATGGCCTGGATCCTGTCAGTAAATTCGCAAAAACAACAGCAACTGTCTGTCTACATTCCATGTAATGAACTTGATGAGGGAAAAATAAATGGAACAACTTGGGATTTGGAAGCAAGAGTTCTGCTTTTAATAGACTTCTCTCCTGATTCTGTTTCATCAGCTATAACTTGAGATAGAAATAAGTTATTTGCTTGCTTCATGGTTTACTATAATATACACATAGCATAATGCCTGGGGAACGGCTTTATCCATGCTAACTGGATGCTTCATCGCAGAGTGCTTTTAATTTAAGGTTTATTTGAAGGTTTTATTTGAAGATTTACCATAGATTTTTCAGAGCCTGGCATTTGAGCTGAGCAGAATAGGTTCTATGTCCAAGTGTCTCACTTGTTCGTGGAACAGTAGGACAAAGCTTTGCATTGGGATGTAGAGTGACAGCTCAAATGCTCCCAGGAGCACAAGGAAAATGGAGGTGGAGGCTGAAGCTGTTGTAATAGACGTAGGAAGCTGGGAAAGGTAGTGTTGGGGCTCCCTATGAGCAAGAATGAATGCTGTTACACAATGATTCAACTAGTTGACTATGAACACCCAAGCCAAACCCACTACCATTGAGTCAATACTGCCTCTTGGTGTCCATATATAGGGTGTCTGAGTCTGCAAATCCATATAGGAGCAGGAAGCCTCGTCTTTCTTCCAGGAGCAGCTGGTAGATGTGAACTTCCAATCATGTGGTTAATAATCCAACACTTTACCTGGCCAGCCATGTATTGTGAACCCAACTCTCAAAATGAAACTCACTGCCATCGAATTAATGCCAACTCCTACTGACCTATAGGACAGGGTACAACTGCCCATGTGAGTTTCTGAGACTGTCCATTATTGATGAGAGTAGAAAGCTCCAGCCATCTCCAGAGGAGGGGACCTGAAAATAAGAAGTGCCTTATGATTTCATACCATTGCATGCATATATCATGTCCTGTCCATGGCATACTGAAATAAACCTGAGTGGAGAAGTTTAGTTAAGTCATCTTGGGGGGTGAAGTGGGCCAATTCTTACAATCCCTTTCCCCACCTACTCTTGTCTTACAGACCATCCAGATTCTGTCTTGCCTGATGATCTCAAGTTTAGGAGCAATCTTGGTTTCTGCTCCCTACTTTTCCCACTTCAACCCAGAAGTTTCTGCCGGTTTTTTAGCTGGATATGCATTTGTTGGATCTCTGTGTGTGAGTAGAGTGGGATTTCTAAGCATGGGTGTGCTTTATAAATGCTAATTTGGTACTTTGTCATGGGGTAACTTTGTCCCCAAGAAGCTTGGGACACAGAAGCCCAAGGCCTTAAGTTTCCCTCTACTATTGTCCTCACATGATGTCTCTAGAAAAGTGCCTTGGGTAAAACTTTTCAGGAAATGACATTACAGGACTGATGCCTTGATGTTTTGCCAGGCATAGGGGGCTTGGATGATGCCACTCGAGTCTCTCTTATTCAAATATATGCCAACTAGTAGGTAGAAAGTGAGAAGGTCCTTTTTAAAGAGTGAAATGTGTACCACTGTTAGAAGGCACTGGTTTGCACAGAATAAGATTAGCGATGATAGGGTTCATAGGAAAACAGAGGCATGTAGGCTGTGTTCATAGAAATTCCTGACCACTTAGAAAACTCTTTTAATTATCTTCTACTCAATGGCTCATAAAGCCCGTGGACATGCCCCCCTCCCCCTCCAATGGCTCACCATCTCACCTGTCCCACAAAGGGATGCTTCTTTCCCAGGTAGTGTCTTTCACAAAGGGGGAAAAGGAACCTGATCGGAGCATATAAACAATATGAAGGCACTACCTCTGTTAGGTCATACACAGAGGATCTGCTCCTGTCCCCAAATAGAATGTACCCCTTTCTTCTCCCGGCCAGTGACTGGACAACCCACATTCTCCTGTGAAAACTAGAATCACGTTGACCTGCTGATAACACAGGATGCTCCTTGGGACTATCCAGCCTCAAGGAGCAAACCTAACTGGTGTTTCAGCTGCTGAGAACATCTTTCTACCACAAGTCAGAGCCTTACTACCGCTGCAATCAAATACTGACTTGGTGGGGCTGCAAAAGTAAATGCTGACACTTTATCCTCACAAGAGTTTGTAATTCCCAAGGAGGTGAAGAGTGATTTTTTTTTCTGAAAGAAGGTAGTCGGCCAAGTAAATCTGGCAACCTATCCTCCTCTCTGTCAATCCTATGATTTAGCAATGTTCCTCCCTCCAACATAATACCTCTCTACGTCTCCTCAGCCTTTAGAAGTCCACTAATATCAATCCTCCGCATCTGCCTGTTCTTCAAATTCCATGTAAGCACCATGAGGGCAGAAATGGCACCTACCTGTTGGTGTAGACCACCCACCATTCCTGAAGTGCCATTTCCCTGGAGGCTTTTATTGACTGAATAACTCGCAGTACCATAGTAGCCACGTTTCAACAAGCAAATGGAGCTGACTGGTTCTTTCTTGTCCGAACAGTTTGCCGTCACTGGAGTCCTCTCAATTATTTCTGGGAAAAAATCAACTAAGCCCTTTGTAAGTATGGAAATCATCACATCTCGGCTGGTTGGAACTGAAGGAAATTAAGAGATACATTTTCTAGTTAAAAGATCTCTATTTTTCAGTTTTGAGAAGTGAAACTCTTAGCAGGTGAGGGACACTGAGATCTGAGTGGCCTAAGCAGAATTCATCATAGAATACAGATTCCTTGTCTTCTAGACTAGCCCCTATTCTCCCCAGAAGTCATACTCCTGTATGATATTCAACCTTTGGAAGGGGGCTGCTTCAGTTGTTAAAGCATTAGGAATTTTCAGATATGCCAGGCCAAAAGCAGAGTTCCCAAACTAAGAGCAGGCTGACTGAGACAAGGAGAGGCCTTTCTTTGCCCCGAGTTGTCTCAAGGGCAATGGCGGCCACATGTTGACATGTGTGTTACATTCAGAATCCATGTAGTTGTCAAGCCATTTCAGCATAGCTTTCCCTTTCTGTGTATTCGGGGGACTTGGAAAGCCACTTTGAATATGAGGAGAATGTTTATCTTACATGTTTTATAAAAGGGAAAATCGAAGCTCAGAGCAGGAAGGAACATAGTCCAACACAGTTTGCTGGTGGGTGAATAAGAGAATGCATGAATAATTCCAGGGCCAGTGCTGGACTTTGAAGCTCAGACTTTATTCTTCTAAGGCCAGAGCTCTGACCCTGTCCCACGATACAACATGGACTATTAACCTAGTACCCCAGCCCCTAGGTTCAGGCTGCTGCTTCAAGATTCGGATTACACACCAACTTTATTCATCTGTGACCCTGGGATCTTCCTGGGTCAGGATGTGGCTTTTCCTTGAATCACCTGTGTGCCTGTGTGATACAGGCAAATGCAAAGGTGCAAAGGCCTTACTTGCTTCCTCCGTTCCCCACCTCTGCTTTTTGTGGGGGAGGCCGCTACAGTCTGATAAATTCTTATTTCTGAGAGAGTAGATGAGAGAGCTGGAGAGTCTAAACCTCTGACCCCCACCAACTAAGGAAATTAAACTTTTACACTTGCCGGGACTCCCAGTCCAGAAAGAGAGGAGAGAAGAGATCATTCCTCTCTCCAAAGAGGAAATGATTCATGCATTCTCTTATTCAACCAGACAACAGCAGCAGCAGCAGCAAACCACACTCACTGCCGTCTAGCTGAGTCTGCCTCATCGTGACTCTGTAGGAAAGGGCAGAACTGCTCCTGTGGGCTTTCTGAGACTGTAGCTCTCTTGAAAAGACTCATCTTCCTCCCTGCAAGCAAGCAGCTGGTGTTTTTGAACATCTGACCTCGTGGTTAACAGCCCAATGTGTAACCCACTACCAGCATTTACTAATTGCATCAGGTGACATAAAAAAAAAAAGTGAGAAGGAAAAAACAAAGCATTGAAATACAATCTGTGCCCCCTAGGAGTTAGACGGGGAACAGACTCAGGAAGCACCATTGAGTGCAACGGGCAGAGGGGTGATGGTGGCAGGGCTGCTTTGGGGCTGAGGAACCAATGCAGAATTTCTCTCCCAGGCCATGAGCAGCCTGACCGCAAGTGCACTGAGCTCTGTGGCTGCTGGAGCAGGCCTCATCCTCCTCATCGACAGCCTGGTGGCCCTGGGGGCTGCGTCTCAGCCGTGTGACTCGGAAAAGACCTATCTATCTTACGCAGCCTACTACTATTCACTCTATGAAACCAAGGACTGTCTCCTGGCGGGTGCCAGTCTAACAGTAAGTAGTTTCGGCATCAATATGCTGTCAGGCGACATCCCAGCATGCCTCTTTTGCATAACCTTTACTTTTTCAGCTGTTTCTCGTCCTGTTGGCCAGCGTACTGGAGACAGACACACCTCACAAAGACATACGACGGAGAGAGATCTCTCATCTGGTTGCATGGCACCTGGAATGTATTGTGTAGAGGGAAAAGGGAAATAGGGGCAGCCATAGGCGAGCTGCCTCTTCTGTAGTCATTTTAGAATAGGAGGTATTCCAACCTCAGCAGGTTTAGCCCTTACAGTCCCCTTATGGAGCAGGCATTTTCTCCTCAACATAATCAGACATGTTCCTTTTTCTTTGCACTTGACTTTGATTTGAGACATCTTAGTAAACAGCTAAGTAACATTGTGATTACAACTTGAGTTGGTCATTGCAATCAGCAGTTCGAAACCATCAGCTGCTGGGGAGAAAGACCAAGCTTTCTTCTCCCATGTAGAGTTACAGTCTTGGAAACCCACTGGGGCAGTTCTACCTTGTCTCACAGGATTGCTATGAGTCGGCTTGGATTCCAGGTAGAGAGTGGCTTTGAGATGATCTCCTCTGGATCCCTTTGGTGGGGTTTGAAGTTCTTACCCCTTAGAGAAGTCCCTGGAGAAGAACTGGAGGGACAGGGACAAAGGGGAAAGAAAGCCCTGAAGAAGATGGATTGACACCATGGCTTCCACAATGAGCTCCAGCATGGGGACAATTGTCAGGAGGGCACAGAACAGGGCAGTTTCATTCTGTTGTGCACCGGGTCACTGTCAGTCAGACCGACTTGATGACACCTAACAACAACAACAACAACAACACAACAACCCCTTAGAGATGTTCATCTTCTCATTGTTGATAAGAGTAGAGTAGAGGTCTGAAGTGGGGACTAGAATAAGCTACTTAATGCTTAATTCCACCACAGGCGTGCATATGTACACTGTAGTCAATGAGGCCTAGAACTTGCACCGTTAGCCCAAATGCATAATTATTCATCTTTGGCCCAGTTGGACTGTGGGAAATGAGAGGAGGTGAGGGCAGGTGTGGGCTGACCGATGGCGTCAAGTCCTAGAGACAGGCCAACATCTCTGAGCAACATTTTTCTTGCCAAGTTTTGCCCAACTCTGATGGTCATGATTTATCAAGGGTGACAATCCTGGCTTAGCTGCTCTTCTCACGTTAAACTGACTCATGGTGATAAGTCATAAACTACGACTTTGACGAGAAAGACTTTTTCCTCTGTGACTTCTCCAAAGAGAGGCGCAGAGACCAAGGCGGCATCTCTCCTTCCTTTGAATCTCTGCTACTCAGAGATACGACAGAGAACAGAAAAGAGGGCTGATCCATTCTCAGACGCTTATTCTCTGCATTGGTAGGGCCTCCGTCCCTTTAGCCACGCTCAGCCAGGCACAGGGGCTGCTTTGATCAGACCCCAACCACTCACGGCCCCATTTGCAGGGCGTGCTGGTGGTCATGCTGATCTTCACTGCGCTGGAACTGCTCCTTGCGGGGTGTGCATCTGCCCTTTGGTGGAAACAGATCCACACCAACCACCCTGGGGTGAGTATGTTGACATGCCAGGGAGTACCTGCTGTGGCCCAAGGTCTGCGCTCAGATGAACTAACTAGGCCCATGAGGTGGCAGAAAGAGGAATCCATAATGGGTCCTGACCATGTGGAAGTGGTCTTCAGAGTGGAAAATGAGTTGAATGAATTGCTGGTTCTTGATGAACCTCTAGTATCTAGAGGGAAGCAGACCAGTTAGAGAACTACGGACTATGAAGCCAGTTGGCTTTAGAAATCTCCAGGGACAAGCCCTTGGGAGAAAGCCAGAGCTTGCCAAAAGCCACATGGAAAGTGGGCTGACTTGGAGAGCCTGCATTCCCTCCCTCTTGTCCTAAACACCATGCCTTCCTCCCGAGACTGTCTCTATAGCAAGGTACCCTGGCTGATATGATTAGATTTCACAAGGACCTCTCTTTTTTTGTTTGTTTGTTTTGTTTGTTTGTTTCTGGTTTCCTGTGCTCTCCTCCTGCCTCTTGATATGATCATCTTAAAGCCCTTCTGTTTCTCCTAAGTGCCGCCACGGATACTGCCAAATCAAATTATTCAGACTATTAAAGGGAGCTGACGAATTGTAGCTCAACTCTGATTTTATTATGAACAGGAAAAATTATGAGCAGGCTGGGGCATGGCAGTTGTTTGAATGAATAGTGGTGCAATTATATGTGATGGTACAGTCAGGGAAAAAAAACCATGACTGTGCAAAATCTAAGGGAAAGGTGTAAGTATAGGACAACAACAAAAAATACCCCAGTATCAGAATTAAAGAATCACTAACACATTTTCTCTTTTCAGAGTATGTTTTTCCTGCCTTGGTCACAGGAACATATATGATATATCAAAAAGTGTGAACATGAGTAACTCTTGACCCAGAAGAAAGAAAAAAAAAAAAGAAAACACTAGTACTCCAGCAGTGTGACAAGACTTGTGCAAAATCTCAGCCACCTCAGAGGCTAAGAAGCTTCAAACAAATAGTATCTTGATTTGTTCACAGTAAATCATTGTATTTCTTTTGCAATTTCCCCCAAACCCAAGGCAATAAATGTTTATTAGTCAGTCTTCTGAAATGGCCATTGAGTTGTCTTCATGAATGTTCTCTCATTGTTCCCTACATGCTCTCTGGGTTCTAAAATACATTGCGATGGCTACACAGGCACTCACAGACAAACTTGACTAAAGGGTTTATTAAGGAAGTTAACAAGTTGGAATGCCAGTGAGAAATGCTCAGTCGTTTACCAGGGCATGGTACAAAATTTCAAGTCTGCTAATAAATGCCTAACGGGGCATACTACTCTGCTGTAAGCTCACCCAGAAGGCATTTAGTTCAAGCTCCAAGAGGCAGCAAGACCCACCTCCCTGGACTAAGTGTCCAGAGGCATTCCATTCCAGTAAGCCTCAGCTCAAAGGCTCTGCTCCACTTTTGTGGGACAGCAAGTCGAACTTCCCCAATTGTCCAGAGGCACCCTACTCCGAAAGCCATCCTGATGCACAAAACTACTCATCTCTTGCTCTGTGGGTTGGGAAATCCATCATTCTGTTCCGTGCTCTGGCTCCTGGTTTTACTGCTGCTCCTCCGGTGGTATAGCTGTCATCTGGATCCAAGAGGTTCACCGCGCAGGGCTTTGGGTCCAAAGGGTGAGCTCCATTCCTGGCTCTTGCTGGTAATGAGGTCTCTCCTCCTGCTTCTCAGAGGGCTCCTTTTATATGCTGTAGGAGGGCACGCCAGGGAATCCAATTCACAATTACTCACAGGGAATCTTATCTTCCCCGCATCTCTTTTACCAGGCCCCTATTGGGATAGATCACTTGGCGGAGTTAGAGCCTTCAGCTAGAAGATCCACATTCAATCACTCACTGGTCCTGCAGCCAGAAACTGTTCTGGGCTACACTGTGCAGAAAGTAGTGACAAAGAAAGTAAACACTCTTGGGCTACTCTATGTTGCTAGTGTCAAAGGACTAAGGCATAGGGGTTACGCAGACTCTTATGTTCACTCTCATGCTGTTTAAAGGTTTTTTTCCTTGGGGTTGCAAGAGGATATTCATTAAAAGGATGGTTGAAAGATGATAAATGTTCCCTAGTGGCTCAGCAGGGTAAGTATCAGGCTGCTAACTGGAAGGGTAGTGGGTTGAGCCCAGCAGCGCCTCTTGGGAGAAAGATGAGACAGTTGGCTTCCATCAGACTTACAGCCTGGGAAACCCCATGGCACAGCGGTACTCCTTCCCTACGGATCGGAATCCACTCCACGCAGCGAGTGCACAAGAGAACAGAGTCAGAAACCTGTTGTCTCTAGGAACAGACACGCTCTTTGAAGCCTGGGTGTGAAAGAACAGAGAGGCTATCTTAAAGGCGAGTACTGCCATAAGAAAAACGCCACAGGGGTTAAAGAAATGCATTTCCTCACCGTTCAGGAGGCTACAACTGTGTGGGTGTGGCTCTGGGGGGAAGGTCCTTCTTTGTCTAATTCACCCTCTGGGAATTGCCAGCAACCCTTGACCTTCCCGGGCTTATAGATCTGCCATGTGTTTCTGTCTTCATATTGGTGTTCCCCTGTGTGGGTGCCTTTAAATAAATCAGAAACTATTCGATTTAGAAACCCCCTAATCTGTTATAATCTCGTTTTCAGAACAAAAGAATGTTCCATTTCCCAACAGGATTACAGCTTCAGGTACTGGGACCAACATTTTAATATGTGGCTTAAAAGGGCACAATTCAATCCATGAAAAAGGTATTTATCCGAAAAAAGGCAATAGGTTCTTTCTATGCTCACTCTGCAGTGATTTTACCACCTACCTCCCCCGCCCCCCACACACCCAAGAGGATTTGGCAATAAGCCCCGGTGACTTAGTGGGTTACAAGCTGTACTACTGATAGTTCAAGTCCACCAACACCTGTGTAGGAGAAAGATGAGGCTTTCTTCTCCCATAAAAATGTATAGCCTCTGAAACCCACGAGAACAGTTCTACTCTGTCCTCAGGATTAGAGTCAGAACTGACTTGAAGGTAGTGAGTTTGGAATTTTTGGGTTGTAAACAGTTTTCAGTTGTCCCAACTAGGGGAAGGCTGCTGGTAGAAGCCAGGAACACTGCTAAATATCTTACAATGCACAAAACAATCTTCCACAACAGAAAATTATAGGACCCAATCTAACCACTGACGTTGAACTGCTATTTGTGGTGCCATAAATTGGGAAACACTCCAGCTAATATTTGCATTTATTTCTGGATTTGTGAGTTAAAATTTGAGTTTTGATAGTCCAAATCATAACAAATATAGGGAATGAAAAATAACTAATTAATTAATTGATTGCTTTTTTAAAGGCAAGCAAACTAATTGCCTTCATTTAATTCTGACTGAGGCAACCCTAGGGGACAAATGAAAACTGCTCCATAGAATATGTGTGTGTGTGTGTATGTGTATATATATATATA